TATACTCTTCCTGCATGTGTTAACTGAATTTTTATTCTCAATCTTTTGGTAGATTTCCCAGCTGAAGTTTCATCATCGTCTGTTGCATCCTGCACCACATCAACAGAACAGTGCAGAGTAACTGGTTGTGCCAATGTTGCCGCAGCAGACAGGCATGGTCACTGCCAAAAATGCTTCACAAGATTTTACCCAGACGTGGTTCATCGTGAAGCAGTTGTTGAAAGGCAGATGTCTGAATTGGCTGAAACTGTTAATTAGTTATTGTAAATGGAAAAAATCTTGTTTGAATTGAACACATTATGATTATAATCTTAAAGCTACACTGATGATTTATGGCAGATGTATGTGTATGCCTTAGTTCACAGTGCTGATCAAAAAAGGAGAACACTAAAACTGACAGTGGATCATGTCACAAAAGTAAAGCAAGTCAAATTTGAGATCAGTAATAATATTGTGAACAGTCCTTCAAGTCAATGAATTCATCTGTTTGGGGTCTTAATTGTTAATTACCTATCTTGCTTGAATTCATAAGCTTTTGTGACTGAGGCAGTTAGGGAGAAATCTTACTACTGAGGAAAATTCAATGGGCTTAAATTTCTTAAAGAAGCGGTGCTGGTCATTTTAACAACGAGCAATTGATGATTTGTGCTGAGAAGTTGTCTTTCTTTTCTCCCCAGTACAGTACAAATATTAGAAAGAAGCGGAGTTGTGGGAAACATCCTGGGCTGTTCTTGCATGCTGATTATTCTGTCATGATTAAAGGCTTAGAGAAGGTTGGAGAAACTCAGTTTCTCAGACTATGAAAAAAAAAGCTGTCAGACTTTTATTCTTGGGCAACAAAAAATATAAAAAATAGTTATACAGTCTAACCTGTTTATACAGATGCCAAATAGGCATAGCTGAGTGTCACTATGATACAGGCAGAGATTATATGGTTTCTCTGGGACAAAGTGAACTGGCCGTAATATAGGGCTGTGTGTCCATATTTGTTCAACACTGTCCTGAAAACAGTAGTCAGCAGGGAGAAGTTTTCCATGTTAATCTCAACAGTGTTATCACTATTTATACAAACAATAGCCTCCATTTGGTGCAAAAATATGCTAGCCAAAGGATATTTTCCGCAGACATTATCTGTTCCGAGAAGCGAACAGTTTTCTAAGAGCGTAGCTCGAGGAAAACTGTGAGCTTCGAGGAACAGATAATGTCCAAGGACAAATATCCGAGCATATTTTCGCCCTAAATGGAGGCTATTGCATTTACTATTCTTCAAATCTTTTTCGCAATGCACACAGTGTTGAAAATTGGGGAATATTCTCGGATATTCCCCAGTTTGAGCTGGGGAATATTCAGTCCCATGATGTGTTTAGACCAATCACGCTCAAGTGAAAATATTCGATGGATTATAAGGCTTAATAGTTAAAATAATATACATAGGTTTTGAGGACAGTGGGTAAAAGGAGTGAAAGTAGAAATTGATAAGTTAATGTTCAACTAGGATTAACTTGGATGAAACAAGTTACTGGATCCACAAAGACATTGAGTTTTACATGCCTCTTAGCTTTAATTAATAGAGTTTGCCAATGTAATCATAATTTAAAATAGAAAAAATAAACCGTTTTTGAAGTATCAACCTGAATAGAAAGAATTTTTATCTGATCCATATGCTCACTGGATGTCCACCCACATAGGTGGATCAAACTGGGATGCTTAAAGGGGATGGCCAAACCCATTGAAGGAAAGTACAAAGCTGTACTGGAATTTCTAAAGAGGTGCATCAAACCAAATACTCATTGACCCCCATAATTATTATGGCCAGTCTTTTTTTGCCTCAGTGAAATGCCCAAACATTTTCTTGTAAGAAAGCTAGGTGTAAATGCAACCACCCCAATAACATGACCAACAGCCACATATTTCTGAAATCCCAATCAGTATAATCTTTTACAATTCTACCATGTTAATATGGCCACTCAAACCAGATTTGTTCATCTTTCCATGGTTATAATGTATGTACTGATTGAAGTTTCAACATTTTTAACATTATCTCTGCGTTTCGAAATTATACTTACTGAAGGAGTTGTTGAAGTTGTTTAGAACTGCAATTGTGATATCCACTTAGGATAGACCGGTCACAAAATGTGACTCTACCCGGTTAAAACAGCCAAATTTTCTGGCCCGTTGGTGACTGTATTAACGGGGTTCCAGTGTACCTTCATGTACCCTTGGGTAGCTACCCTGAGTAGGACCCTGTATACTGGACACGTGATTTTGTGGAGAAAGAGGCTACCAGCAGCTCTTAACTACAACTAGACTATGAGTAGGCCCTCTTTTGCTTACTGTAGCCCAGCCATTTTTCCTTCTGTCAAGGGTTTCCTTTGAGTCAGGCACAATGGAATAAGCAAAATAGAGGCTATCCTTAGTCTACTACAGGTACGGTACAATGGGCTGAAAATTCTCATTTGACTGATGGGCTTCTGAAGACTGGCAAAATATATTTTGTAATGTTTCGCTAATTACACTGGAGTATGTTCACTAGGTATGGTTCGTGTTAGCTGTAGAAGTATTTTAGGCGTGAATCCCTAAGGGGCTAGTAGGCTATTTAAGAATTTGTANTCACTGCTGTATTTTCTTTATGATGATGTAACGCTCACTGTATCCTGCATCAATAAACGAGATGCCCGCCCCTGATGCTGTTTGTGTTTATTAAGATTAGTTACAAAATATTTTATAATCATGTCAGGGTGATTAGAGTATAACATCTATTTCAGCTGGTTGAATAATGTTTAAACCACGTTTGAGGACAGAATTTGTGCAACTCTACCCTAGTTTGGACAGTCTCACATTAACCTCATGTGCCCTTTAAAGGGCTGCAAGGCCAAACTTATTACCCTGTTGGGTGGGATGTCCCAATATAGGCCATACCGTAAAATTCCGAAAATAAGCCCCGGGGCTTATTTTTTTCAAAGGACCTTTTGAGGGGCTTATTTTTTGGAAGGGGCTTATATTCAGAGGGGGTTATTATAGGAGGGAAATTTGCATTTCAAAATTGGCTGGGCTTATAATTGGAGGGAAATTTGGGTCAAAATTTTTGAATGTGCAACTGGCAATATTAGGGTTTTGGCTAGAAATTCGTAACAAATTAACCACACTGAAAATGCCAAGTTCAAACACAATGGCAGTAAACTTTATTAGAACGGAAATACAGTAAAAACAGTAACCTTAACACTTGTTGACCACATTGCTTTAGTGCACGGAATCATTCTTTTATGACTTAAAAAGGCTTCGTGATAATGGTGATTGTGTGTAGTTTGCTTTGGTTTGTATAATTGAGGATAATTTCCAAATACAATCCCCCGGGGGCTTATATTTGGAGGGGCTTATTATGGAAAGTATTTTAACCTTTCAGATTTGGGGGGCTTCCGTACGGAGGGGCTTATACACGGAGGGGCTAATTTTTGGAATTTTACGGTATGTAAAATATAGCCTCCATTTGGCATGGAAATGTACTTGAATATTTGTCTGCGGACAAGATCTGTTCCAAGAAGCAAACAGTTTTCCAGTAGCGTAGCTGGAGGAAAACTGTGAGCTTCGAGGAACAGCTAATGTCCAAGGGCAAATATGCGAGCACATTTTCCTGCCAAATGGAGGCTTTTGTGTTTATTATCCTTCAAATGTTTTTCACAACACATGCGGTTTTGAAAACCTGGGAATGTCACTTGGAGATTTCCCAGTTTTAGCTTTGGAATATTCAGTTGTGATGCATTTAGACCAGTCATGCGCAAGCAAAAGTATTTTTTATGGATTATAAAAGAAAATAACCAATACAATAGTTTGAATTCAGCAGTAAGCTTTGGATTATGTTCTGCAATAAAGATACTGACTTTTGCTCAGTTGCTAAAATTACGTTCGACACGGTATGGAAAAAAAAAATACCCTAGTTGAACGAGAGGGTAAACGTTTTGCAATACCACAAAATAATATCTCACTAGTTATTACTGGCTCCCAGTAAAGATGCTGCCATTTGTCTACAGGGGATGTTGAAGGTTATATTAGTTTCTTTAAATGTACGTGTAAACATAGAGTCCACAATGCATGCAGCTTCTTGTCCCCTTCCCAAAGTTCCAAACAAAGAAATCTCTCAAAGAATGGCTGCCATTCCAAGGCATGATGACTTAAGCACTTATTATTGTAAAGACATTGTGCCCAGGGCAGCCAGTACCAGTTGAGTTAAGATTCTTATATAGTTGAACCTCCGGTTGCAACCACCCCTCATAAGCGACCAGTTTTCCAAACTACCAAAAGTTTTCAAGTCAAATCACTATATTTGGAACCTCTTGTGAGCGAACACATTTCGTAAGCGACCGCAACCACTTTTAGAGCCAAAAGTTTGAAATTTTCTTCTGTATTTAACCTCCCATAAGCAACTGCTTGACAGATAATGGATTGAAAATTGGTGTTGTAATATTATTGCATCCCTCACAAGTACCAGATTTTTTCACAAAATTGACTTTTCACATGAAAACATTTAAAAATTTAGAGAAAAAATACACATACACTGTTTTCCATCAGTCTTAAGACTCCCTTAAATGACTTAAAATTACCACATGCTAATGAGGCAAAATTTTGACCCAATAATTATGGTCTAAGCTGTCGTTAGTGACCACATAGGCTTGACATTTTGGGTGGTCACTTATGGGAGGTTCAACCGAACTTTCCTGTGTATTTGTTCTGAGGGTAAATCAGTCTACATGTACATGTACTACATTCACCATGTTACTTTCTTTGCATAATTTGCTACATGTAGCTGGGTGCTGATTAAGGCTAGCACTGGTTATATTTATTGCTCTAAATGATTCCTAAAGAGGATGGGGGAAATATGTTTAAATGAGGGCAGCACTTTGTCCTGATTTTAAGGGATGCCACACCGCTGATATTGTTAGAAAAATGCCTGGGAGCTTTAAAAAACTGTTCCATTATAAATCAAACAAGCTGAAAACAACATGTTCATTTATCAAAGGCTTTATTACATGTCGGAAGCTATAAAGCACAGATGAATTTAATTAGCGCTTTCCTCCAACACGAGGAGCCTTTGTCTGCACAGGTTTGGCCGCCTTCTGCTTTTGCCGGACAGGTTGCTGCTGCTGTGCCTTAAAGCATAAACAATATTTAGGTCAGCATAAACACAACAAATGCACAGTGATAGATAATTGTTAATTTTCTTATCAATGTTTTACTGAATGTTCTTTAGCATGCACCTAATGTCAGCTCAGATATTGAAGCACAACTTGGTGTATTACTTGGACAAAACAAAAACCATTGATCCCTAAAACACACCCCATGTAGGTTATATGATTACCCACACCACACAAAACTCATAAAAATACTTCAAGACGTTAATCATCCTCACATTATTGGGCATCAACTCTCTACGTTTTCCTTACACTTAGGTACCAACTAAGATACATGGAAGTGCCTCTTTGATACATGACTGACTTGTTTCTTACTATAAAAGTTAAGTAATAACAATGTGTGCATTAGGGTGTTTTACCTTGACTACTTTCTTCTGTTGCTCTTTGGCCCTTGCCTTTTCTTTTGCAGCCCTGTGGAAAAACAGAACAAAAAAAACTGTTGACATACAAGTACAGTATAACATACATTCACTCTAGTTGTCTTCTTTATGCACTGGTCCAGAACAGTTTTCTCAGAAATAAGTTCCAATCAGGGATACTCCATGAGCACCTCAAACAATGTAGGTGTAAATAAAATCATCACTGAAAATGACTGGACAACAATGTTGCATACTAAGTGCAGCCTACAAGTTAAGACCTGTACTGTTACTCAAACTTTCTTTTTTTACATTAATGACAGTGATTTTTTTTTTACTTAACCCCAGTGCCATTCAGGGACAAGAACACAGCTTAACAGGTCAAAAGGTAAAAATTAAAAAAGAAAGCCGGAAGGTCTTGAACAGTGCCTGTCACCCCCATTTATCTCACTACCATAATTTAAGCAAAATTTAAAATGTGAACAGCAGGATACCAGAAAATAATTAGCAGGGCCAAAGGGTGATTTGAAAACATCACTTATCCATGTGAAGGAAAGGAATCTTGGGGCTAGCTCATATTGGCAAAGAAGAAATTTCCCAATACAAAATCAACAAAGGAATTCACTGGTCTTGTAGTTTCTTGGGTGTGAAATACATGTACAAGTATACAGTAGCCATGTACGTCATATTCAATACATGCATTCCAAACATGTGAAATGCCTTAAAGTGAGATTGCCTTGACCTGCTTCCTGGTACTAAAGGGAGATACAGATTTCCAGATTAAGTTGCACACCAACCTGATAGCTTGTTCCCGCTGGGCTTTTCTTACTTCAGGCTTTTGGTTTCGTTTGGCTAGGATGTTCTCTAGAGTAGCCCCCTGAACTGAACGCTGGAACTTAATGTTGCGCCTTGTTCGTTTTTTGGTGACTTCCTCAGTGGTGCCCTTTTTGTGCTTTCGGCGATACAAAACAGTCCACGTGATCTTTCGTGGGTTGCGGTGCATTAGCAAGGCCCTCTCACATTTCTTGTTAAGGAAGTTGAAGACCTAAAGATTCAGGAGAACATTCTTAAGTATGCAAGTTACAAGTTACAAATTTCACAAAAGAGAAGTTCAAATATTAAACATCCGTCTATATATCCAGTACATACATGTATTCCTGACTTAATCAATTAAACCAAGCCAAATAAAAAATAAGTCAAACTCAGTTGATTGGATCGGCAATCAGATACAATCAAACTCCATTTTTTTGGCGAGTCTGATTATCATATTCAGTCAAACCATCAAATTCCATCAGTTTGATTTTGTTTGAGCTCCGCTACAACCAAATTATAACCAAATAAAACCAGAGTACACTTTCAATTTCAATGTCTTGGAAACGTACTATGACTGAATCCAAATTACACGTTTCTGAAGAAATAGCCTTTAATATGTGACTCCACGGCAAATGCAACTAACAAAACATACCTTTCCATCCAACCGACAGTACCTCTTGCCATGGCCAGGATAGATTTTGTACCCACTGTAGTTACACAACTCGAGCCTTCAAAAAATAGCACGTTTAGGATTTATTTAACAAAGAAGCTTTGCCACATGAATTGCTCCTATGATAAATAAATTAACCATAACGAAGGCTTGTACGAAAGAATTCATTTTCCTAACAGAAATCACCTTGCTGAGGCACTTCTACAACAAGTAAAATTTCACTGTAGTTTAGTGTCCTACTGTTTATAAAGCCCCGCAGAGTGAAACTTAAGGGGCCGATCTAGTAGTCTATTGCTCGTAAACATTTATCTATAGAGGATTGCGTCTGGATGCAAGAGGATTTTAACTAGACTTACTTCATCGCTGGACGATGATTAATCTTGATGGAAGGAGAATGATTGGGGTGCATGCGCACATCAAATCATGGCTGATACTGCGAGCGAAGAGCACTATGGGAATATTCAAAATGGCGGCTGTGTTGAGAGTTGAAGCTTGTTGAACACAAAAGATCGAAACAATAACAACTGTACAGCATTTTTGTAGGAAAGGAATGGCCAAGAATATGGAAAACCAAGGTAGCAGTAAGAGCAGATCGAGGGACGTAAAGGAAACTGAGAGATCGCAGGTGAAAGCTACTCCGAAAATTCAAGAACATTCTTTTCTGACTGACAGAACAGACGTGAAACAAATGGAGAAAGGATTGTTAGATCTCATGCACGACTTCAATCACGGAAAGCTTCACGCGTTTGGAAAGGACTGCACTATTGAAAAGATGGATAAAGTTCGTGAGCTTCAAGAACGTTTGGCACAATTGCATTTTGAACTTGACAACATGACTGAGGGATTTGGGGAGGAGGAAGAAACAAGAAGCGGAGGAAATCTGGAGAAATTAATGAAGAACTTGGAAACTCTTAGTTCTACTGTTCAAAGCTTGCATCACGAAAGTTCGACGCAATAGGAAGGGCAATATTACAGTGCTGAAAAAGAAGGATGTTACACGATGGGCAATGATTGCCCACTCAAATCCACAGAATACCCTGCCTATCTGGACAACAATCTGCGCAAGTCGATTTACTGATACTCCAGCTGATATACATAGTCAGTATTATTTAGAGGTTATTCAGTGGTTATACACATTGTAAGCAATATATTTCCGTATCACCCCTTTAGTTTATTTTGCCTGCAGTTCCTTGTGCTACTAAATAAACTTTTTAATTTTAATTGAATCTATTTTAATCCGAAATCTAGAAATGTTTTCTGTAACACACTTAATTATATGGCATGGTAGTCGTGAGGTTATTTCAAGCATTCTGATTGGTTCATTCTCAGTATGGATTTTGCCATAGGGAACAAATTGTTGCAGGCTGTGTACATGTATTTTTGTTTTTGAAAAGTGGAAAAATTCAGAATTTAGTGCCATATGCGTGTTATAAACTACTCACTAACCCATGTAGCTTGCTCGAGCTTACTGGACAATATTGGCCCTTGGGCATTATTGTATAGACCTTGCTGTGCTTGGTCTGTACTGTCACGACCTCAGACCAAAAGTGCCCAGTACAGCCCTTGCACTTGGTAAGTAAGAGGTTATTATTTTGTGGGACCAAGAATGAGGCCCATATATAAATGGTTGTTATGTCATGCATGTGCTGTTGTGTACTATTTTGTCTGGCAGGGGGAGCGGAGACTCCAGTGTAAAAGTGACAGGTGCAATAACTGTCAGTGAGTTTTGAGAGGAACCCTAAAAAGTCCCATTTTCACTTTCCAAGGGATATTTCACACGTGATAGGAAAGTTACCAGACACCACACAGAGTGGTACCAATTATGTAACCCTAACAGTTAAAACAATCATCTGGTTTCTTTCCTATATGATGCCCCCGATGTCTCTTCCCTAAACAAGGTGTTTTGATTTGTCAATGCATTCATTCTCTTCCATGTTCACAGTGTCATATGAATCACAAAATGGTTTTTTCATAACTTTCAGTTCCCCTGATTAACCTCTATGTATCCCAAGTTAGCAGGAAATTGTGACTTAACTTTCTCAGGTATTCTGTGGTTGCAGCCATTTGCACCTTCAATACAGCCTATATTATTTTATGGACAGGAACATTCAGAATTGTCCCTCACTTGAAGCTAAATGAATCATTCTGAAATAAACTTGTGTCTGGGGTGGTCTATGATCTCTGCTCAAAGACCATTGGTTTAATGGTGGCAACAGGATGTGTTGCAGAGAGTTCTAGGGATAATAAGACTATAATAATTATTAAAGTATTGTAGTGGTTAGTGTAATAAAACGTATTATTCAAAGTAATTCTAGTGCCAAGTAAAAAAGAAAAAAATATGGTGTTACAATATTATTACATGTATGCAATTCCCGCTGTTTTGGTGGTTGTCCTTTGGACAACAAGACTTTATTATGGCTAACCCTCTGTAAAAACAGTCCTAGTGAGAGCTACTGTTGCCACTAGGTACAAATAGCTCTCAAAAATGCCTACCAACACCAGAAGGCTGTGCCAGTAATGTTTTTACCACAATTGCGACTAATTGCATTGCAGGCATAATGCAAGTAAGAACAAAAAAGTTAAATCAGCGACACAATACGAACAAGTTTAGAGACTGTGTAAGTTATCTTCTAGAAGCGTAGATCAAGGTATCTTCTGATAATTATTGGTCCTGAGCACAGGTGCTCTAAATACAAAATAAACATAGTNTTATTATCCTTCAAATGTTTTTCACAACACATGCGGTTTTGAAAACCTGGGAATGTCACTTGGAGATTTCCCAGTTTTAGCTTTGGAATATTCAGTTGTGATGCATTTAGACCAGTCATGCGCAAGCAAAAGTATTTTTTATGGATTATAAAAGAAAATAACCAATACAATAGTTTGAATTCAGCAGTAAGCTTTGGATTATGTTCTGCAATAAAGATACTGACTTTTGCTCAGTTGCTAAAATTACGTTCGACACGGTATGGAAAAAAAAAATACCCTAGTTGAACGAGAGGGTAAACGTTTTGCAATACCACAAAATAATATCTCACTAGTTATTACTGGCTCCCAGTAAAGATGCTGCCATTTGTCTACAGGGGATGTTGAAGGTTATATTAGTTTCTTTAAATGTACGTGTAAACATAGAGTCCACAATGCATGCAGCTTCTTGTCCCCTTCCCAAAGTTCCAAACAAAGAAATCTCTCAAAGAATGGCTGCCATTCCAAGGCATGATGACTTAAGCACTTATTATTGTAAAGACATTGTGCCCAGGGCAGCCAGTACCAGTTGAGTTAAGATTCTTATATAGTTGAACCTCCGGTTGCAACCACCCCTCATAAGCAACCAGTTTTCCAAACTACCAAAAGTTTTCAAGTCAAATCACTATATTTGGAACCTCTTGTGAGCGAACACATTTCGTAAGCGACCGCAACCACTTTTAGAGCCAAAAGTTTGAAATTTTCTTCTGTATTTAACCTCCCATAAGCAACTGCTTGACAGATAATGGATTGAAAATTGGTGTTGTAATATTATTGCATCCCTCACAAGTACCAGATTTTTTCACAAAATTGACTTTTCACATGAAAACATTTAAAAATTTAGAGAAAAAATACACATACACTGTTTTCCATCAGTCTTAAGACTCCCTTAAATGACTTAAAATTACCACATGCTAATGAGGCAAAATTTTGACCCAATAATTATGGTCTAAGCTGTCGTTAGTGACCACATAGGCTTGACATTTTGGGTGGTCACTTATGGGAGGTTCAACCGAACTTTCCTGTGTATTTGTTCTGAGGGTAAATCAGTCTACATGTACATGTACTACATTCACCATGTTACTTTCTTTGCATAATTCGCTACATGTAGCTGGGTGCTGATTAAGGCTAGCACTGGTTATATTTATTGCTCTAAATGATTCCTAAAGAGGATGGGGGAAATATGTTTAAATGAGGGCAGCACTTTGTCCTGATTTTAAGGGATGCCACACCGCTGATATTGTTAGAAAAATGCCTGGGAGCTTTAAAAAACTGTTCCATTATAAATCAAACAAGCTGAAAACAACATGTTCATTTATCAAAGGCTTTATTACATGTCGGAAGCTATAAAGCACAGATGAATTTAATTAGCGCTTTCCTCCAACACGAGGAGCCTTTGTCTGCACAGGTTTGGCCGCCTTCTGCTTTTGCCGGACAGGTTGCTGCTGCTGTGCCTTAAAGCATAAACAATATTTAGGTCAGCATAAACACAACAAATGCACAGTGATAGATAATTGTTAATTTTCTTATCAATGTTTTACTGAATGTTCTTTAGCATGCACCTAATGTCAGCTCAGATATTGAAGCACAACTTGGTGTATTACTTGGACAAAACAAAAACCATTGATCCCTAAAACACACCCCATGTAGGTTATATGATTACCCACACCACACAAAACTCATAAAAATACTTCAAGACGTTAATCATCCTCACATTATTGGGCATCAACTCTCTACGTTTTCCTTACACTTAGGTACCAACTAAGATACATGGAAGTGCCTCTTTGATACATGACTGACTTGTTTCTTACTATAAAAGTTAAGTAATAACAATGTGTGCATTAGGGTGTTTTACCTTGACTACTTTCTTCTGTTGCTCTTTGGCCCTTGCCTTTTCTTTTGCAGCCCTGTGGAAAAACAGAACAAAAAAAACTGTTGACATACAAGTACAGTATAACATACATTCACTCTAGTTGTCTTCTTTATGCACTGGTCCAGAACAGTTTTCTCAGAAATAAGTTCCAATCAGGGATACTCCATGAGCACCTCAAACAATGTAGGTGTAAATAAAATCATCACTGAAAATGACTGGACAACAATGTTGCATACTAAGTGCAGCCTACAAGTTAAGACCTGTACTGTTACTCAAACTTTCTTTTTTTACATTAATGACAGTGATTTTTTTTTTACTTAACCCCAGTGCCATTCAGGGACAAGAACACAGCTTAACAGGTCAAAAGGTAAAAATTAAAAAAGAAAGCCGGAAGGTCTTGAACAGTGCCTGTCACCCCCATTTATCTCACTACCATAATTTAAGCAAAATTTAAAATGTGAACAGCAGGATACCAGAAAATAATTAGCAGGGCCAAAGGGTGATTTGAAAACATCACTTATCCATGTGAAGGAAAGGAATCTTGGGGCTAGCTCATATTGGCAAAGAAGAAATTTCCCAATACAAAATCAACAAAGGAATTCACTGGTCTTGTAGTTTCTTGGGTGTGAAATACATGTACAAGTATACAGTAGCCATGTACGTCATATTCAATACATGCATTCCAAACATGTGAAATGCCTTAAAGTGAGATTGCCTTGACCTGCTTCCTGGTACTAAAGGGAGATACAGATTTCCAGATTAAGTTGCACACCAACCTGATAGCTTGTTCCCGCTGGGCTTTTCTTACTTCAGGCTTTTGGTTTCGTTTGGCTAGGATGTTCTCTAGAGTAGCCCCCTGAACTGAACGCTGGAACTTAATGTTGCGCCTTGTTCGTTTTTTGGTGACTTCCTCAGTGGTGCCCTTTTTGTGCTTTCGGCGATACAAAACAGTCCACGTGATCTTTCGTGGGTTGCGGTGCATTAGCAAGGCCCTCTCACATTTCTTGTTAAGGAAGTTGAAGACCTAAAGATTCAGGAGAACATTCTTAAGTATGCAAGTTACAAGTTACAAATTTCACAAAAGAGAAGTTCAAATATTAAACATCCGTCTATATATCCAGTACATACATGTATTCCTGACTTAATCAATTAAACCAAGCCAAATAAAAAATAAGTCAAACTCAGTTGATTGGATCGGCAATCAGATACAATCAAACTCCATTTTTTTGGCGAGTCTGATTATCATATTCAGTCAAACCATCAAATTCCATCAGTTTGATTTTGTTTGAGCTCCGCTACAACCAAATTATAACCAAATAAAACCAGAGTACACTTTCAATTTCAATGTCTTGGAAACGTACTATGACTGAATCCAAATTACACGTTTCTGAAGAAATAGCCTTTAATATGTGACTCCACGGCAAATGCAACTAACAAAACATACCTTTCCATCCAACCGACAGTACCTCTTGCCATGGCCAGGATAGATTTTGTACCCACTGTAGTTACACAACTCGAGCCTTCAAAAAATAGCACGTTTAGGATTTATTTAACAAAGAAGCTTTGCCACATGAATTGCTCCTATGATAAATAAATTAACCATAACGAAGGCTTGTACGAAAGAATTCATTTTCCTAACAGAAATCACCTTGCTGAGGCACTTCTACAACAAGTAAAATTTCACTGTAGTTTAGTGTCCTACTGTTTATAAAGCCCCGCAGAGTGAAACTTAAGGGGCCGATCTAGTAGTCTATTGCTCGTAAACATTTATCTATAGAGGATTGCGTCTGGATGCAAGAGGATTTTAACTAGACTTACTTCATCGCTGGACGATGATTAATCTTGATGGAAGGAGAATGATTGGGGTGCATGCGCACATCAAATCATGGCTGATACTGCGAGCGAAGAGCACTATGGGAATATTCAAAATGGCGGCTGTGTTGAGAGTTGAAGCTTGTTGAACACAAAAGATCGAAACAATAACAACTGTACAGCATTTTTGTAGGAAAGGAATGGCCAAGAATATGGAAAACCAAGGTAGCAGTAAGAGCAGATCGAGGGACGTAAAGGAAACTGAGAGATCGCAGGTGAAAGCTACTCCGAAAATTCAAGAACATTCTTTTCTGACTGACAGAACAGACGTGAAACAAATGGAGAAAGGATTGTTAGATCTCATGCACGACTTCAATCACGGAAAGCTTCACGCGTTTGGAAAGGACTGCACTATTGAAAAGATGGATAAAGTTCGTGAGCTTCAAGAACGTTTGGCACAATTGCATTTTGAACTTGACAACATGACTGAGGGATTTGGGGAGGAGGAAGAAACAAGAAGCGGAGGAAATCTGGAGAAATTAATGAAGAACTTGGAAACTCTTAGTTCTACTGTTCAAAGCTTACATCAAGAAAGTTCGACGCAATAGAAAGAACAATATTACAGTGCTGATCATGAAGGAGGATGTTGCACGATGGGCAATAATTGTCAGTTAAAAGCTACAGAATACCAATCTGGGCAACAATCTGCGCAAGTGGATTGCCAGATATTCCAGCTGATATGTATTATTTAGAGGTTATTCAGTGGCTAAACACATTGTAGGCGAGAATTCTGTATCACCCCATAAGTTTATTTTACATGCAGTACCTTGTTCTACTAAATAAACTTTTTATTTTAATTTACTCTATTTTAATCCAAAATCGAACAGTGTTTTCTGTAACACACTTTATTATTTGGCAAGGTAGCCTCGAGGCTATTTCAAGCGTTCTGATTAGTTCATTCTTGGTTGGGATTTTGCCACATGGACCGAATAGTCATAAGCTGTGTATTCAGAATTTAGTGCCATACAATAAACTACTTACTAGCCGGAGCAACTTCAGAATACCTGGCCACACATGCCCTCCTTAAATCTACTGCTCCCGTGGTCCGTGGTCCACAGTCCCGCAGTCAATGAACAAGAAATGAACTAAGTGTTGAACTGAAGTGCTCCTGCGGTCCGCAGTCCTGCAGTCGATGAACAAGAAATGAATTAAGTGTTGAACTGAAGTGCTACGGCAGTCCACAGTCCACAGTCCCGCAGTTGATGAATAAGAAATGAACTAAGTGTTATAACTGAAGTGCTACTGCGGTCTGCAGTCCCGCAGTGGACGAAAGAACAAGGTATATTTGTGGTTTTTATATACAGTTATTACGTTAATTATCACGACTGTGGGACTGCGGTAGCAGCATTTGAAAACACATATTAAGTGGCCGGGTATTCTGAAGTTTAGCCTACTAGCCTAGCTTGCTCGAGCCGTACTGCAGAATATTGGCCCTTGGTCGTTTTTGTATGGACCTCACTGGGCTCGGTTTGTACTGTCACCACCTTGGACCAAAATTCCCCAGTACAGTCCTCACACTCGGTAAGTAGACGCTATTATTTTATGGGACCAAGATTGAGTCCTATTATACGGTTGTAATGTAATGCGTGTGCTATTGTGCACTGTTTTGTCTGGCAGAGGGAGAGAAGACTCTAGTATAAAACTGACAGGTGCAATAAGTGTCAGGGAGTTTGGGAGGAATCCTAAAAAGTCCCATTTTCACTTTCCGAGAGATACTACGATTATCAGTCAAGTAAGGCATGACGGAAGTTTGGTGACGAAGTTTTGGCCTTAAAATTACCGTGTTGTCAAGGGCAACTTACCTTGTTTCTATTGGTAACAATATCAACAGCTGTGCGTCGCCTGTCGTGTCACCTACAATTTCGCATGCTTTGCTGCTAATGATGTCAAAGGCCGACAAGTTGCCACTGGAAACGGAGCCAGTTGCTTGTGACAACACAATTTTTACGTCCAAACCTGGTTACCAAACTTTCCTTACGCCTTACTCAACTGATAATTGTAGTACTTTACAATTTAGTGATTGTGAATCATGATAAAGTTACAGCCATAGTAATTTTTCTCCTTTGATATTTGAATATCTAAAAGGTACCAGAGTCACACTGAACAGTACCAAAATGCAACCCTAACTGTTAGAACAATCATCTGGTTACTTTCATACATGATGCCCCTCCCCCC